GCGCGAGCACCTCAGCTCGCGCCAGCGCGGTGCCCGTCTCCGCAAGGCTATCACCGCCGCTTAAACAATCACCAACCTCTATCAAATAGACAAAATTTAAGCGCTGGTTGAAAACTGGGTTTACGTCGGGCATCTTCTGTGCTGTAACTGTGTGACTTTTGACAAGACTCTTGAACAAAGGGACACAACACCAAGATTACATTACAAAACTCGATCAATTGTTCTAGGGTTTTTGCGAGGGTGGTTCGTGGCTTTTCATCAACTGGTGTATGGCAGGCTACGGTGAGCATGGCATTAAAGGGAAATTCATGCAAAAATTCGCAAGGTTTTCTTGACGAAATAAAATCATTCAAGTCCTCCTATGTCCGGTCCTGCATCTGAAGAACAGTGTGACGTGATTAGTTAGTAAAAGTCAACATGTACCCTGGAGGCTCACAATAGTTGGTCACGAGTGAGACATTGCATCAGGTTGGATTTAGCGACACTGACCATGTATCACACTCCGTGGTTTTCGATATCAATATTTATACAGAGCTTGCTAGCAGCTATTGGTTGAGCAAATCTAACTGAGTCCAACTGGTAACATAGCGAATGCGATGGGAGCAAAGTCCCCTGGCTCGATTTTCGTTCAGCGATCATTACGACATTAGCCATCCCGTCCAATTCTGTGAGGCCCGATTGCCTGTTTCCATACCAATTTTCGAAAGCAATTACCAAACGCCTATGCCATCCTTTCTATTACATCAACGCTACGCCCAACCGTTTAGTTCTCACCATCTGTCCATGGTGAATTGTCATCTATTAGCAACAGTGGGGAATGTACGTCGTCCTGATCAACCAGCCCTGGCAGAGGGGTCTGACCATTGTCTTGGTTACCAAGCGGTAAGCCAACTGGTTGTTGATTGACAGGATTACCCACAGCGGGTGACGGGACAGCGACCTGTATGAGAACGGGGAATTGAGCATGCACACCGTAGAGCCTGATCTAGAAGTCTAGGCTCACCATGGCCTCACCATCTCGTGCCCCTGCAATGCTGGCGGCATCAACCGTACCCGAAAATCGACCTTTTCCGGGTTGCTCAACACCATCAGCTCTGGCGTCGTAAATTGTACGCTCGTCATATACATTGGCCCATCCCATGTCCATCCCAAAAGCAGTTGTAAGCTGCAGTAGCTCCTGGTTCCTTAAGCAAGGAACGATCCGGCAGAGAAGCTTGTCCCGGCACTTCTGCATCAGAGGCGATAGATCTTGAATATGCGGATTGCCGTTGGCCCCAAGGCCCTGAGCGCCATGCGGCAAGATACTCCGAGTATTTAAAGCCGGTGAATCGACTGTAACATACCCACAGGACTTGAAGGAGACGCACTTCAGAATATACTTCTTCTCATCTGAGCGTAGGCGTTGCGGCGCAGGTATGTGTTGCGCTAAGGGATCTGGCTGGTCCGAGGCTGGTTGGCTCGAGATATTCAAACTCAGCTCGTCTCTGGCACTCAAAATGTCTCTAATCTTGATGCTTGGGGAGAAATGCTCTATGATGCCTGCCCAAGATAATACATCTGGTTGCTGTAAGATATCCATAGGTGCAGGTGGAGGGGGCGGCGGAGGGGCCTGATTGTTGGGTGGTGGCGGTGGCATGAATGCCGCTCCAAATACTCCTGCAAGCTGCTGAGCCGTCGCATTAAATGGGAATGGTGCAACAACCCCGTTCGCTATATTAGTAGGCGGAGGTACCAGCACACCAGGAGGTGCAGGGTGCATCCCGATCATGTTCAGCAGATGAGCATTGTTTGCTGCGCCAGCTTGCTGGAGCGGAGCTTGGGGGGTGAGAGTCGGTGGACCGGAAAGTGATACAGATTCCAGATCAAGCTTCTCGAGTGTAGACAAAGCCATATTGCGTATTGTTTGCAAAAGGACATGCGGTGAGGCCCAGCAGTTCTTGAGTGACAAATGCTTAATAAACGGCAATGACAAGAGATCGTCCGTATTGGTCTTAGGGCTATCAATGCGAGTCATTAGTTGAGGTTGTTCAAAGAACGGTGCTGGGAGGATGTGGTGGTTCCGTTGATATGTCCCAGGAGCAAACTCTCCACCACAGATCCATTCAAAGTGAAGGCTTTCGATGTGTGGCTGAGCGCCAATGTAATTGTTAAGCAGTTGATAAACCTTACCAACAGCCTCGACAGGAGAAACTGTGTCATCCTCTACACAGCCCGGGGCAGACTTGGAAACGCGTCGCCAGTCGGCAATAACACCTAGCGAAACATTGGTGAGAGACGATAGATTTTGCCATAGCTCATGCCGACAAAGGATATACACATGGCTACTGGGGATCTTGGCAATCGTGATGGTGGTAAGATTTTTGAAGCAGTTGTCTCGGGCATTGTCGATAAGGCCAATGACATAGGACTGGATCATGGCGCGATGCGCCCACTCAAGCTCGAGGAGCATTTCTTTCTGTGCTCTTGTGAGACTGGCGGGAATCAGCGGATGGTTGACCGCCTCTGCGGTGGCTGGTTCAAATTCAGCACGATGTGTGTTTTGTGCCATTACTCGTCTAGCTTCCATCTCAGTGATTATGGTTGCTCTCTCATCAAAGTCAATCGCGTTGATGTTGGTGCCTTCAGTCTCCAACAGCATGAGCACAGCTTCGTTGATCTGCGCACCTGAGTACCCAGCATCTGAGGCCATCTTTTGCAGAACTGTTCGCTTGAAACTAATGGGGTTCTCGAACACAGGCTTTCTGAAATCCTTGACCATTTCATTCAGGTCGGACATGGTGACGATTGGTTGCTTCCGAGCTTGTGACTCAGAGCCTGTGTGACGCCAATTCTGCGTTGCAAACACGGGATGGAGAGTGGTTGCACCTCGTGCGATGTGATCAGGCCCTGACAGAAATCCAAGGCCAGCATCACAACAGAGCCCAAGATTTGTGACTTTGACCAAGCACTTCAGCGCTTCCTTCATGGCCTCAGTCTCGTCGGCAGTTTGTTCGAGACCTTCAAGATCAGTATATCGGTGGTAAGTGCCATGTGGCCAGCGGTATATGCCCCAGAAAGAGGGGACAGCTTCTTGCGAAGGCTTCACTGGAGGGTATGAGAGCGTGTCCTCATCAAGCTCCAAAGACAGCGCAAAGCGCCGGATATGGGGACCAAAAGACTGGAAGATGCGCATCCCATTTGAGAGAAGGGCGGACGATGTGCGCTTAAAGGCTCCGTTTTCATCACGATCCAACTTGCTGTAAAGCTCCGACTTGAAGGGCACGACAACATTTCGAAAGTACTGTGCGGAAGCCTTGTTCTCAAATTCTTTACAGACAAGTCGCAAACATCTGACCTCGAGGCGGGTGAGGTACGAAATAATGATCTCGAAAATCTCAACCGGAATTTCGTTCGTGGGCCATGTAACGGCGGACATCGCTTGGCTTCGTTCATGGGAATCTGATAGTTCAATGAGAGCGGGCATTTCTTCGTCACAAGACGGAGGAGCAGTGCTTGGTCTTCTCTGGCTCAATGCCGGGTCGATAGCGTCAATCCAGTTGGGATCCATTATCGCGATGGGTCGGCGGACTGCAAGTCTCGGGTTTCGTAGCGAGCGCTTTCAGAATAGAGTGACTGCGAGAATTAACGGTGGAGGCGATTTGCTTTCGGTCGGACGGAGGGCGAAGATGTCGTCAAGGTACTCTGATGGCGGGGCGTTGGAGCAGCGGGGACTGAAGAGAGAAAGGAGGACGAAGGCGTTTAATATGAAGAAGAGAAAGAATAATGATAATTCGATGTCGTGCGATAAGGATGAATGTTGAAGGCGAATAGCTGCCGGGGGTGTATCTCTCTTGTCGTAACCAGTGTGAATAAGTAAATGAATGAATCTGTGATGTAGTGCTCTGTTGGCTGCAGTCAAGACTCAGGTAAAGAGCGGGTTGGATCGGATCGGTGCAGCCAATGCCTGGTGGCAAACGTAAAGGTCTGGGGGAAAGTGAAATCGAGGGGACAGGGCCCTCGTCTCCCGGTAGTTGGTAGGATAGCTGTCGATCTATGCCGGGGTTAATTGTGCGATTGCGGCTCCGAGGGGAGCAAATTAATGAGTTGAAGATGGGGATGGCATGTCTATGTTTAACTACCTGATACAGAGTAGACAGACGTTAACTACTAAACCTAAGGTACCTATTAACCTAACCGTAGGATGTGGGGGAGAGCCGTGGGCAGTCGAGGGTAGGGGGTCCACTTCTAGAGAGTACCTGAGTACCCCATCGGCCATGTTCCGTGCCACAGATATAAGGTATAGTACATTACGACGGGTGTAAATTAGAAGTGAAGCGCCTGCAAATCTTTGTACGGATACTGTATAGCATTGAGTTATAGTGAACGTCTCTGGTAAACTTTACTAGGTTACGGCCGTTAATATGTTTGTTGTCTCTAGGACTTAGTTTCATCGTGCCTAGAGCTTATAACAAGATTCGAACAGCGCAAAGTCTGTTCTTCAACATCACAGGTAACCGTTGCTCGCTTAGAACGGAGAGGCGTATTTTTAACTCTCTCTCGGAACTATCAGATGATGGAAATCATCATTACTGTAAAGGAAAGCTACGCTAATATTCCTTTTTCCTGCAGCTTCGATCCAACTTGAGTTCAGGGATTAGCCCTGTGGGCATCCCCATGGGGAGATCCATCGGAATACGATAGCCTGGAACCCGGACAATGCCGGAGATCATTAAGCTGCGTTGCAGCATTAGAGGGATCAAATACTTACGAAGTGCATCACGTCGTTACAACTATATGATTTTACATGATTAAAAGTCTTCTGCTCCGGTAAAACTCGCGACGGGTTCACTCAAAGGAATCGAAGCTCAAGTCACAAGTTGAATTATTGACCTCCACATCGCTAACATCCCGGATATTACAGGTCCAAAGCAATACTATCTACGTGTATAAGAGAAGAAACCATCAAACTCAAAACAACACCAAATCCGTGAAAATACATTGCTTCATTTCTTTCTTTCACTTTACGCATCGTCTTCTTCAATATCGCCAGCCCAGAACCAATATCTGATACAATGTTAGTCATCGTGCTCTACATCTACTCAATCTTGTAAGGAAGCACTTACAATGTGGCATATTGAACCTCGAATTCGGCATCCATACCCTGGCAGGTTGCAGGGGCGCTGCCACCGGCAGTTGTAGTTCGGTAGACTTCCTTCATCTTGTGGGTAGCACCCTCAATGGTGGTGAGTCTAAGCCATGGTACAGCATTCTCACCAAGCTGTCCCTTGGCAGAGAGAGATGGAGCAGGAGCGCTGCTGTTCTTTGCACATGGAGCCTCACCAATGTCTTGGTTGGGAGTGCGGAGGTCGAAGAAGGGCGTACCATCGGCGGTGAAATAATGGTGACCAGACTCAGCGAGGGATGCAGGGCCAAGCTTGTTGGCATCTGACAGAGGGAAGTGAACGGCCATTCCAGGGATGCGTTCGATCAGATCTGGGTACATCGCGGCGACGCAGCTGCCGTTGAAGAGAGTGGCCACAGCACCAGTAGCAACGGGAGCTGATGAAGGCTTGCTGGTATCGCATGTGTAGTTTTGCGTACCACGGCCGATAGCGACATGAACCAGCTTCAGGCCCTTGGCTGGGGAAGGTAATTGGCCATCTGAAATCACTGGTTAGCCAAAAGAGAACAAGCACTGAACATTGGTGACATACCAAGAGGCATCTTAGCTTGTGAGAGATCACAGACAGGAGCCATTCCATATGACTTGACGGCCTTGACCTTATCCGCGACCAAATTAAAGTATCCGGATAATGACCCTAATGCGTCAATGGCGGATCCAGCATCGGTGACAGTAATAGTAGGATAGGTTGGTGCTGCAGAGGCAGTCACCGCGAGGACAGAAGCGACAAATGTCGATAATTGCATCTTGAAGCTGTGTATAGAGGGGGTTTGTGTGTGTTTGTGTATGATGTCGAGGGTATGAGCGTGTCGGTATCGTTTCGAGTCGTCAAGATGTATGCCGTTAAGAGAAACAGAACCCAAGAAACAACAGAAATGTTTATAGATAATCAACCGGAACGAGATTTGAGAGAGAAAACTTGTTGACCCTAGGAAATAAGGAAATAACAGATAAAGGAAATAAGAGACAAAAAGGAAAAAAGAACGCTCAGCGTCTTTGAGTGTATACAGACAGACAAATGCAGAGAGATTCTTTTCCTGCCTCTTTCTTTCTCAACACCGTCAAGTGACGAACCCATCTCTTAATATACCAGCCTTCCCCTCCAGCCAAGACCCTGTTACACGCGCCTAAGCGTACGGGCGGCAGGCGTGAGCAAATGGCCATGATTGGGCTATCTGCCAAGATCTGGATACAAAAATAAACACCAGCCTTTTTCCAATGTCTGAGATGTATATGCACGTCTGGCTCATATGTGATCCGGGAACAAGATTGAGCAACGAGAGCCAATCATTTGATTGTTGAAAAGAGTCGCTGGGGTTGTGATTGGTGGGAAGGATTAGTTTAAGCGCCTGGCTCGGGCGGTCGGCATACGTATGCATGGGCGTTTAGAAATGGGCATGAGCACGAGGAAATGCCACGACAAAGACAATTCCGCTTTTTATGCACTTTGCCATGTGCGATCTAGGTTCGTACAGTTGATTCTGTCATTTGAATAATATACAGACATAGGTATAGGTATCTGACCCTGTTCTCTGGATAGACCGCCTGTTTACATCCAACGTATGGTGGTCTGTAGATGTCTGCCATACATTAGTACCCAGTCAGCGATGATGAGAGCCGTTGTACTGCGTTCTCTTTTCTGTATGACCGCATTACTGCATACGAAAACTCTGGAGTTCAAGTCACATTCCAGCCTCTCAATGTTACCCTCTCTATCTCCTATCTCCAAGCCAACCCAGGATCCCCTTAATAGATCCCAAGATCTCTCGGCGCCACTGACGAACCAACCTCATCTTAGCATCAAAACATCCAAGCCCCCCCCCAGAGTAAATTACACACAGTCTTGTGTAGCTTGCCGCCAGCCTGCGAGCCTCTGATTGGACCGCGGATCATGCATGTCCACGGGCCGCGATAAGCGGCCAGCGGCTGCAGAAAATAGAAACTGGCCCCGCGACCCCTCTTATTGGGACGGGTTATTTTCGCACATCAAGACGGAATATAGCCAAGCTTCTATCGACATCATGACTTGCATGTTTTAGCGGACCTCAGAGGCTGCCTAGAACAAGTTTGTCACATGTTTACTTAAATTTCTCTTGAGGAGGTTGCTTAGGTGGATCATGTTATGGTCTAATTCAAGGTTCTCACCACCCAACCCAATAACACCATCCGTCTTGGCATGGATCTCGCTTCTAACGCACGAGATATCGCTTGCTTCCCTAATATGTACAGTACATAGCACGAGATCTCAGATATCCAATGACTCCACTGCCGACCCGGTCTTAACGTAGGTCTATCCTGATATTGATACAGATCCATCTCCCGCGGAGATTCGTCGACACGTTCCCTTCCGGCTTTTGAGCAAAACACTTACAAAACAAGACGGCGCATCGCCCTTCACTTGGCAGGATCTTTAGGCGCTCCGTCCATTGGACTGCCAAGTGAGTCCCCGGCAACTCCAGCTGCCGCTGCCGCGGCGGACTCAAGATGGGTTACCCGCTGGACATCTGACGAACTGAGCCAATACAAAGTTACAAACACCAGCAAATGGAGTGCTACGCAGTATGCAGCAAACAAGTTTCGGCTGGTTCGCGAAGCAAGTACTGTGCGTGTCAATGAGTAGACTGCGCGTTCTGGTAGACTCATCCGTTTGTAAGCTCGAGCAGACTCTCGCCCACGGAAAGCCGCAAACGGAGAAATATTGGACTCGTATGCCTGGCGGTATCGGTCCATGGCGATGCCAGGATTCCCCGTTTCGCCAATCGACACTGTCGATGGGTTTGGATTCGCCCCGTACGCCGACGATGTCGCCGCACCGCCTCCTCGGTTATATGTTGAAACATATCTTGTCTTCTCGTAGAGATTCAGGTTGTCCTTCTGAAGCGCTGCGACTTCCTGACGCAGCTGCGAGACCGTTCGGTGCGTATCTGATAGTTCTTCCTCAAGTTCTGCATTCTTCTTCTTATAACGGTCTCGCTGGGCCGTGACCATGGGCAACATACCCGAGCCTCCTCCATAGACTCGTTCGCCAGGCTCGCCTCCTCCCATGCGAGGATCCATTCCACTAATGATTGACGACGTTGGCGAGATTCTGCCACTCTTGCGGCCCATTGCCCGGGTGACATATGTTCCAGCTACAGATGCACCAGATGGGAATGCATTAGCACCCTCCTCCTGGATTGTCTCCAAATCACTCTCCAGTTTCTGGTTGAGCTTCTGCGCTCGCTCCAATTCGGCATTGGTTTTTGAGAGCTCCTCTTGAAGATCCTCCAGGCGACTTTGTAAATCGTTATGCGAAACACGTAGCACTGTCAACTCATCGCCCAACTTCTTGTTTCTCGCCAAAAGAAGCTTCTCAAGAGAATTGCCCTCCGCATCCTTTGCCTCGAGATGCTCTCTTACTTCGTCATCGTCACCTGTGGAGAACTCAATACTCTTGAGAACCTCAAGCTCCTGCTTGATATCCTCGTAGTCACTCCATTTTTGAACCTTACTCTTCAGTGTGTCCCTCTCCTCCCTGAGAGTGTTCACTTCTCTTTCAATAGATCGTAACTTGCCATCCAATGCTCGTTTAAGACCCTCCTTCTCCACACGCGCGGCGTCCAGCTTGCGGATCATAGACTGGTTCTCTGACCTCACACGCATATATCCAGGATCGTCCTCGAGACTTGTCTCAGGTTGCTGTTGGGCTGATGACTTGGCTTGTGCCAACTCCAGTCGCATTTGTTCGTTTCGTGCCTCAACCTCAGCCAGGCGAGAGCTTGTGCGATCCAGATCTGCGTGGAGCATCTCAAGCTCAGCACTCGAGACGTTGTTGCGATGAGCCTCCTGGTCATCGCCATTCTTGCCCAAGCGCTGGTTGACCTCGTAACTTGCGCGCATCTCAGTCAGAAGGCGCTCTTGCTTCTCCAGCCTATCTTCCAATGCCTTCTCTTTAGCCTCCCAGTTATCTGTCTTCTCCTCTAGCACAGCGTTCCACGACGTCTCAACTTCCTTGACACGTCTCTCTAGGGTCTCCTCCAACTCTCTTCGAACCTTTCGCTCATTCTGGAGCTTTGAGTCAGTCTCTTCCAGTTGACTTGAAAGTTTTGAGACATTCTCTTGGAGGTGCTGGTTTTCTTCGGTAATCTTTGGCAGGGTGTCTTCGGACAAGAGCATAGAATCGACTGAGGCTTCAAGAAGTGGGTATGGGTCTGGGGCATCAGAGAAAGATGCATATGTTTGAAGAAATGCCGAGTTCACAGACTTGGAGTGGTTCGTAAGGAGGTCGATAAAGGTCTGATAGGCTGTAATGATGTTAGTCTGAATCAGTGTAGGATAGGATCTTGTTGGTACATTTCAATAGTCCCTTGATTTCTGTGAGCTTGGCCGCATCATCGAGCTTGCGGAATTCTTTCGTTTTTTGGGCGAGTTCTTTGCGTTGGACAGTTGAGTCCCGCTGGTATGCGACAATGTCTGAAGCTGTATTGTCGAGATTCGAGACAAGGGTTGTGAGATCGATGGCTACCCGGGCAATCTGTTAGTACCTGCCACCGCTGGTGTTCCACGGAAGCCATACTTCTCCATGCTGATATCGCATGCTGAAATTTGTTCTCCCCTTCAAAGGTGGGCGCAGGCGCAGGGGCTTCGGTTGTGCTCGCCAGCGCAGCTTCGACGGCGGCGTCAGTCATGGCGTTGTATTGAGTTGGTGATCAGGGACGGCGCAAAGGAGTGGATATGGCAGCCTTGAACGCCGCGGATGTGTTAAAGCGAGTGTTTTTACAGTTGATGCTGTCGTTCAATGGTCGTAGGAGCTCGTTGCTGTCGTGGTTAAATGGAGGCCATGAGGTTGTACTGATGAATAGGAAGGAATGCGTTTCTTCTCCCTCCTTGATAACTTGGGGCCAGCTTGCGCGTGTCATACAAGCTTATTGGCCACGAGAGCTGTCAGGCTGATAACGCTAAGGTTACAGGGGCAGTTCCATAGACTGATCCCCCGCAGCCTTGCAGTTCAGTGAACACAGCCACTAAAGAGGTAGGCACATACTATGTAAGCCCGGGCGTCTCTCCACTCAAGGGCCCGTCAGCTTCTAGAGCTTCAGGTACGTAGATCCACTCGACTGATGTCAACACACACCAGCCAGCCTCGGGTGCCTGGATACAACATTTTCGAATTTCCAGAGGCACTACACGACATGCGCTATTCGCTCAAATGGTGCTGTTGATAACAACGCCGCTATGACATCAGATGGCTCAGGCGATGGGCCTTCAATCACAAGCCCAGGGCTAACCAGTACCAGTCGCGAGGTTGGCCCTTATGTTCTCAGGACTTTATTAGATGAGGTGCCACTATCTGCAGACGGCTCCAAAGATGATATCAAGATCAACTGTGTAGACTATCTAGGTAAGTAGTTTCGGCATTGATTTGGAGCCTTGCGCTCATGGTTGACCTTTGCGCATGTAGATGCGAATCTGTACGTTGGCACATCTGCCTCCGAGCTGCTTCACTTCGTACAAATTCCACCAGACCCAAACGATCCATCCGGGCAACCCGTTTATATCCTCGCATCTCGACTATGTCCTCAATATGTCGAAACTCCAGGCACTCCGAGCTCGCGACCCGGCGTTCAGCAAATCCTCCTACTCCCTCGTGTCGGCAAAGCATGTATCCTTTGCAATTGGACCGTCACTTTCTATTCCCTTCCCGAACTCAGCCCTGTTTTTGGAACAACTCTAGTCAAGAACTGCAGTTGGATAGGCGGCATTGATTTGAATGAGCCCTTGCTCGACGATGGAAGTGCAGAGAGGAGTGGAGGTGTCACTATACTCCTCTCTCTTATGCGAAAGATCCAGGTCGTGCGTGTCGGCGAGGACGCGCGCGCTTTCAAGGTACGTGTCAGCGCATTTAATGACTGCCAACCGCTCACGCGATACAGAAAATCGACTTCTCTGGAAGCACCCTGTCAGTCCGTAGAGACTCAATCGCTTGTGTGGCAGACTCTAAGTCGTATGCGCTTATCGATGTGGAACAACAGCTCAAGATCCCCTTGATGAGCATTTCATCCTTGGAAGAAACAACCTCACCCAGTGAAATTGGACATGCTCAAAGTATTGGAGCGGATACAACAAGTGGGCTGCTCCGAAGCTCCTCTTCTACCGGAAATCGCACGTCTAGCGAAGCCCCAAGCCACAGTCGGAGCACGAGCTTGGGGGGCTCAATATTGGATAGTATCCGTCGACAAGATCCTCGTGGCAACGAGGGTGAGGATTTCTTTGGCCGCAACACCTCGCCGCAGCCGTCTATAAGCCCCAGGCCATCGATTGAGAGAGCTTCAACACCAAATCCTCCTTCGCTCGATAAACCTCTCCCAGCTGCCCCTTCACCATCAGGCACACCTTCTCAGTCTACTGACCCTCGACCAAGGCCTGGATCCATCTTTCTAAAGCCTCACATCACTTCTCCGACTCCTGACGAATTCCTGATTGTTACTGGAACTGACCCCCTGGAGCCGGGAATCGGCATGTTTGTGAATCTGGATGGCGATCCTACGAGGCCTACTCTTGAGTTTACCAGATACCCCAAGGAAGTTGTCGTAGATAGCCCGCCTTTAGAACTTAACTCATCACAGCCATCTTCAATGCAGGAAGAAGATGGGTATGTTCTGGCCTCGATGACGAGAGAAAAGGACAGCTTGGAATATGGACTAGAGATCCAAAGATTTGACGCGGGCTCAGATCCAAACCCACAGAAATTCTGGTTGACAGCTAGAGAGGCTGATGGAGTCTACGGCATTCGTTCGCTTGCTGGCAGCGAAGAAACGCGATTCGATGAGATTGTTCAGAAGTTGTCGCAAAGGCGATACACTCCTTTCTCTGTTTCAATATCGCCTGGCACCCCTGATCCTTCAACTTCAGCTAAGACACCAGACGCGAGAACAGCGCTGTCAATAGAACACCTCTCGAAAGAGAAGGAACTTTTTGACAGAAACATTGACTCGCAAGACGAAGAATCATTGCCAGAAGAGTGGGAGGCAAATCGCAATGCAGAGGGCGAGGAATTTGCTCGACAACTTGCCAAGGCTCAGGCAAGGTTGGCAGTCTGGAGTGGAAGCCGCATCTGGTGGGCTATACGCAATCCTTTACTTATACAACTTGATGCCGCCTTGGAAGCAGCTTGTGTGGGAGATGTTTTCAGCCCTGCCGAGCTTGACAGACAGGCAATATTCACCACTATCAACTCTATCAGGGGTCGAGAACCGCAAAGCGAGTTGGAATTTATGACTTATGGATATATACGGCAGAAAGCTGGCATCTTGCTTTTGACGAACTTGCTGAAGTCTCCTGAAGATAGGCAGTTTACAGAAAAAGATGTCAAAGCTCTTGAAGAAGTGCTGATCGAGAGTGGTCTTGACCCTCGAGTGGTCCTTTCCCTGATTCCCAGCGTTCGAAACGAGATAATAGAAGGCTCACGTGGGATCTGGATATATGGCGGCGTCAGAAGAACCGCCGATGCTTACCTCAGAAGCAGGGAGTTTCAGATGACATCTAAGGACAGTATTGGGACACTGGAGCCGAGGACGATGCACTTTCTTCGAAGATTTCTTGGAACATGGCGCAAGAAGAAAGGTTTCGGCAGTGTGGCCGACGAGAGAGAGGTGTTTCACACAGTTGATGCGGCGCTGCTGCTCGTGCTTCTCGAGATTGACCAACACTCACCTAAGGGGTTGGGCAAGGGAGGCGTCGTGAGATCCGAGCTATACGAGATTGTGGATAAGGGCGTTGACTGCTTTGACCGCGCAGTAGATTTACTCGAAGCATACCATCGACTCTTCGTGCTAAGTCGCCTGTACCAGAGCCGGAAACTTTCAGGAGATGTTCTGTCCACTTGGAGGCGGATTATCGAAGGCCAGCAGGACGTAGGACAGGAACTCCGTGAAGGAGAACAGCGAGTTCGTGAGTATCTGACCAAGATCGGCAGCCAGGCCCTTGTCCAAGAATATGGTGTGTGGCTTGCAAATCGCAATCCAAAGCTTGGTGTCCAAGTTTTTACTGAAGACAAGGGACGAGCACCCAAATTTGAGCCAGCGCAAGCCGTTGCAATCTTACGAGAGGAGGCACCTGATGCAGTTAAGTATTACCTCGAACATTTGGTTTTTGGCAAGGGCCATACCACGTATATCAACGACCTGATGGCGTACTACCTCGACGTGGTTGTTCATGATCTGGAGTCATCTGAGGAGAGCCGAACTTTGGTCAGAGCGACATATGAGGCATACCGCGCTTTACAGCCTCCTAAGCCTGCATACAGTCACTTCCTTCGGGACAACGCGCCGGACGACAACGAGGTCTGGCACAGCCGTTTGAGGCTACTTCAACTCTTAGGCGAAGCCAATGATTATGATGCAGTAGCAATAAGAGATCGAATCTCGAGACTGCCAGATGATCTTTTGGTGCCCGAGACCATCATACTTGCTGGCCGAGAATGCAAACACGACGACGCCCTCCGCCTTCTGGTCCACAACCTGGGCGACTATGACACCGCAGTGTCATATTGCCTTCGAGGCGGTGCGAGCACAACAGGTGATGCTCCCTCCCAAAGGCCATCATTTGAGGAACAACGTCGCCTGTTTAACGTCGTCCTCCATGAGTTGCTCGCTCTTGAAAACATCAGCGATCGTGTGGAGCAGACTGGAGCGCTCCTGGAGCGGTTTGGCGGCTGGTTCGAGATTGACGACGTACTCAGTCTTATCCCTGATGATTGGTCTGTGGACATTATTGCAGGCTTCTTAGTTGGGGCACTTAAGCGTCTTGTGGGAGAGCGGCACGAAACGATGCTGACCCGCGCCCTGAGCGGAGCGCAAAACTTGCGCGTAAGCTACGATCGCGTTGCCAAGATTGATGAAAAGGGGCCAAGCATTGAAGCATCGAACTAATATGTCCTCAGCCGAGTTAGTTGCGCTGTTTCATTGTATAAAGAGGGGGATCCATAGCAAGCGTATGTGCGGAGAATATATACATCGTAATTCAGGGATTGCCTGCCTATTCTTGATATCGTGATCATGTGCATCTAATACATTTGTATCTTCGTACAGTTTTTACTTTTACTCGCCTGGCATGACTTGTCCACCACTCTAACCAGTCATCATCCAACTGTACTGTTGCCGGAGAGCTCTCATCTTATTCCGTATCCGTCCCTCACGAAGTCGTTGCTCCGCCTCATTCTGCGGGCGGGAGTCAAGTCCTCTCAGCAAGGTGAGCCAATCAATGAGACAGAGAAGACGCCTAGAACAAGTGTCTTGCTCCGCCACAATGAGTTGAAGTGTTTCCTAGAGTCCGAGCGTGAGATGGTCGTGATGCTTAAAGCTTCTTCTTTTCCCTCTGGCTCAGTGAATTTGCCAGGCTCCTCAATGTCTCATATAAGCCTCATGAGGTTGAAATCCACTTCAGCGAAGCGACGACGAGCCACCTCTTGCGCACCGTAACATCGTCCTCACGTTCAGTATTCCATGGCCTCTCCTCGCTGTTGCAATCTCTCTCCCAGATCCTCTCAACCTCGAGTCCGACCTTATGAAGCGCCGCTGCATCAAACCCGCTCATCTTTGTTCGGCCAGTATGGAAACCAGCGACAACCCAACACCTAGCCTCAGGGGTTTGCTTGAGAAAGTGGGCGATGGAGCGGTGAAGGTTCTGGTGTTGCCAAGGCATCCAGAGACAACCGGCGGCAATGACACGGTCGAACGAGTGAGCAGCTGATGTGCTGAAAGTGTCATCGAACTCACCCCAGGAATGGCCCTGGATGGAGACTGCAGAAGAGGGGGTTGCCTCAGCACCAGCGGATGATAGAGAGGGCTGGATGTTGCGAGCGACGTTGGTGCGAAAGGTTTTGAGGACGGGCTCAGCTGCATAGTCTGTGACAACGACACGCTTTGCGCCTAGCAGGCCACCCATGATACTCGGTAACGCGGTTCCAGCTCCGAGCTCAAGAGTCTCCAACCCCTTCACGTTGAATGAAATGCTGTCCTGTGCCTCACAAGGGTTCTCAAGAGGAATGCTGAGAGAGTCGGCCTCGATAAACTCTGCGAGCAGGAGTGAAGCATTCCAGAGGTAATGCGAGAACAGCTTGCGGTCATCCTCCTTTGCAGGGTCGGCGAGGTCTACTGAACGAGGGGCTTGGGGAGATGAGGTGAGGCATATGAGAGGTTGTGTTCCGCATCGCCATGTTGATTCGTGATATCGTCGGGGAAGATGACGCCCAAGGCAGTGGAGAGATAGTCTTCAGGGCTATCAGTCTCCCCGTTGACTGAGATACGCCAGGTAAGAGACATGACCTTATTAGATTGGAACCCCTCGAGTATACTATCAATGTGAAGGAGTTTTGCCCAATCTGCTCCGATGATCTGACTCGATTTGCTTATAAGATCACCCTGACAGTCTCCTGTATGGCGTGTTGTACAGAAGATATTGAGCCGCTCAGACAGACACAAATAAGAATGTGGCTACGGGAATGTACAGATGAAGATTTGTCAGATAAGGATGAGTTGAGTAAAGCTAACGTAGCCAGGCGTGGACGGTCGTGGGGCAAGGGTAATAAGAAAATTTGCTCAAGTCGGCACCGCTTTTCCTGAACTAGGTAGGATAAGATGTACGGATACGTAGCATCCAGACGACTCAGATTGCGCAATGGCCGAATACGATATATAAATTGCTCACAACGTTGCGGTGCATATTACCCCTATGCCATACTTGATCGCCTTCGTTATGCCATGAGTTAGACAGAGTTGGAGTTGTCAGCACACGAAAAGGCAGCCGATCCCTCTGACACCTTATAAGAGTCGATGACACCAATAACAGATCCATATGTTCCAGCGACCATCAGGAATGTTCCAGAAAGAATAACAAAACTACTCCATACAACCATAAGAACCCACTTTAGGGATTTCTCCTGCTTGCCTGCGCTCCAGTTGTCGTATAACCAGAAGCAACCATATGGCTGAAACGTTTGCAGTGTACCTAGGAGAGCTCCAACAAGAGACACGAGACTTCCAAAGACAGGAATCGCACTCGCTATTATGTAGGCTAGCAAGGCCGCAGAAAAGGTCAGACCTAGCCACGTAGCCCAGTGAGTGAGGGTGTTGGCTGTGAGATGTCTTGAGCCTCGAAGGACTCGAACGAAGACGTATTTTCCTGTAACCTATAGAGATTCTGTATCAGTACTCATTTTGGTTCAAGGCCGAATTTTAATCATATCAAGTACTTACATGAGCATTGATGGTTGCACCAACAATCAGACCTGGCAAAGCAAGGCCGTAAGCAACTTGCTTAATAGTCTTGCCAGCCGAACCCAGAGCAGGCGAGGCAACATAGGAGCCACAGTAGTAGTAGATGATAACTCCCACAATGATATATGTCGCTGTCGCAACGGACTGGCAGAGCAGCATCGCTTTGGTATAATGGCGAGGGTCGCGCATCTCTGCAGCGATAGGGAAAAACAGGGGTGTGCCAGCATAGGCAAAGACCATCGTCGAGAGAGCCGACATTGCTTCCGTGAAGCTCGGCTTTCCATATAGCTGGTAGTCGGACTTCCATTCGTGTTGGAGATTTGTCTCTGGAGCTGCTGAGGGTCGGTCTTGGATGCTGACGGCGATGGTAACGACATAGACTGATTCCGTCAGTATGAATGACAACTTTGAGTGGTATTCAACGCACCGCCTGCCAGGAGAGAGATTACTCCCACCCATGCAAGCCAACTTATGCGACCCAGGGTGCGGATGCTAGCACATAGAAAGACGATTATTGCGGCCACAGCGACAAAAGTGGCTGTGCATGTCCCATGCGTCGACAAAGCATTGAAACTGATAGAGATGCCCAATATTCCCGACGCAGAAGCAAAAATGGTAACTTGTACAGTCATGGTCAGCAGTGAGCTCAACTCGGGGCGCCATCACCTACACAAAGAAAAGCTGATCCCAAGGAACTCTTGTCCGAAACGTCCAAACAAGATACCGCCTGCATCGTCAATACCGTATACCTCACGGTGGTTGAGCTTGAATGTCCCAATAATGTAGTCAGACCAAGTGGTGATGCCTCCAATGACGAGCAGACATATGAGGCCGGGGACGAGACCCAGAGTGTGGAACGCCGATGGGATCGAGAGGATGCCCAGCCCGATTTGGGTCTTCATCATGAGTGCAGAAGTGCCTAGCCAGCCAACCTGTTGGCGTTAGTATTTGAGACTGCATGCATGAAACCTGTGGAAAGCTCTTACATCTCGGTAGTTGGGTCCATCTTCTGTGATATCGCCAAAGACCTCGTCGTGAGCTACGGTTGGGCGAGCGTTGTCTTGGTTCAGACCTTCTTGTGAAAGAATTGGCGCTGGATCAAAAGTCCCAGGCTCTCGGTTGTTGGCGTGCACGATGCCCATGTTGCTCTTTTATCCAGAAGAAAATAGGGAGAATGGAAGAATGGAAAGTTGCTAAGATCAGAGTGATAGTTGACCGTATATATCCTTTCAATATCTGTCTCCCCTCACGTATTCGGCCCGCCAGAACTCTACTCTGAGGACACTGGACGCTCATTGCCCCCCTCTAAGCTTTCTCGATGCTCACATGGCATTTCGCGTTTCCATGATGAAGTGGTTTTATCGTACCGGAGTATCTCTCTCATTTTGAGTGTCCAGCTCAAGCATTCATATCTCCGCTGAGCCTATCAGGGCGAAATGCAGAAAGAACTATTTCTGAGTGAATCCATTCTCACGCGCCCCTTTGTTGCTCAAGATTGGCCAGTTCCCTAAATCTTATTGCTTCGTCGCGAGGGGGCGACTGCATAAAGTTCGTGGCTGTATCGTGATGATGTACTCGTATTATCTCAACAGGCCCACTGGTTCTTTAGCATCTTCGTGCTCCGTATAGTGTTTGGGGGTTCGTTTCTACCTATCAAAGCATGCAATAAAAGGTCATGCGTCTTAATTATAGTCTGCAATAGAAACCTTGGATCAAGTTTAGATAATTTTGGGGCTTGCTCATCCTCCCTTAGTTTTGATCACCTGATTAAGTTGTTTTTTCCCCACGTCTTACTGGTTAATCAGAGGCATCAAGCTATTTTACACCCTAAGCCAAGTTACCATGCCGAGCAAGACGCAATCTATGAAGCAAGGCGTTCGTGCTTGGCGAGGTGCAGTAAGAAAAAGAACTGATATGTTCTGGCGGAACTCTTCCTGTCAACTATCTAAGGTACTTATGGATCACCATAGATCTGGTAAGATGACATATCGGGGTATGAATAAGTGGCATCGTCATATTAGTGCTCATATTATACATCCTTGTTTCAGCTACAATGGCACCAAAAACTCCCATGTCATAAAACATACACGCAAGCCCATTCCAGTCCAAATATTTGTACAATAACTTCAGCAGACACTCAAAGTAAACACCAATCACAAGAAACAAACAGTACTTGAACAATATGCAGATTAGGACAGAGTCCTCAAATAAGTATTGCTGTCAAAATAGTCCATTATTGTCATTAAGCCATCAATGGGTGAGGTACCAGTCCAAATCCCAGATAAAACAACAGTAAAAACATGGGTATCGATATGTCAACTCCATGGCGCAAATCAGTTCCCTTTCCGTTCCTTTCCTTTGCCTCGAAACTCTCATCCTATGCCTCTTCATATGCGGATGTGTCCTGTTTCCCAAATCCAAACCTAAACCCAGTCATAAATATTGTCCGTGAAGTACCCGGATGTTCCCTTTTTCTAATACAGTCCCGCTTACGCCACATTATGCTTTTTTTTCAATATGTTTTGTTCGTATACTTTGAGAGAGGGGTGGTAGTTGGTGATCGTAGGTGTGTGTGGTCGATGATGCCGAGTCGTTATAGAGTAGTGGTGGTGGTGGTGGTGGTGGTGGTGGTGTTGGTGGTGAGCATTTGCTGCATCTCCTTGAGCTGCTCAGCAGTGGGGTCGTCAGAGATCCAAGGGCCCTTCTCTTCCTCAGTAGCACCGTGGAAGCCAGCAGCTCGCTTGAGAGTCTGAACGTCGAGGTCGGTGACATAAGACTTGCCATCAGATAGCTTGAGACGGACCTCATGGTCGGTGGAGAGCATCATGTCGTCCTTGGCAAGACGGCGAGGACCATCAAAGACAGCCATGACACGCTTCTTCATAGTCATCTGACCCTTATCAAAGCCCCACGACGATGGGTAGTCGCGACGGTTCTTGCGGCTGCGAGTCTTGGTTCCCAAGGGGACACCACCGCGGGAGTGAGTGACACCGCGAGACTTCTGGACACCGTTGGCCGGATTGCCCTTCTTTCTGGTGGCAGGGGAGGCGTTGCTTCGGGGAGAGCTGTCATCATCGTCATCCCCACTGTCGGCATCTTCATCATCATGGTTTGCCATGACAGTATCTGTGGTAGTGGGGAGGTTGTTCTTCTCCAGAGTCTGGTGGACATCCTTATCATTCTCAACCTCAGCAAGGCGCTTGGCGTTGATGGCCTCAGCAGGGTCCTCTTGCTGGACAATGCGCAGCACACAGTCGTCAAGGTGCTCGTAGAAGTCCTGGGCATTGGAGAAGGTCTGTGAGCAAGTGCTGCACTTGCCAGTGGCATCAGGAGCATAGCCAGTCAGCTTCTTGTTCGAGTTGGCACCTGCAGAAGACTTCTTTCGGCTGTTGGGTGGAGTCTGCTCGACGCCATGGACTGCAGTCAAGTGGCGCTTGAAGACGTCGGCACGGTTAAAGGACTTCTCCGCAGCCGAGCCGGAGCCTGGGCAGAAGCCGCAGACCATTGTGCCTTTGTAGTGTGTGAGGGTGTGACGGTTCTTGTCATACTTGCGAGCAAAGCCCTTTGTGTGGTACTCGCAGGTCTGAATGGGGCACTTCTCAGGCCGCTCAGTCTGGTGAGTGAGCATGTGAGCCTTGAGGTCCTTGAAGGTCTTGCCGCAGTCGGGAT